CAAAGCTGAGGACTGCCTGAGAAGGGGCTTTGCCCTTCAGTAGCACCCATTTCTCTCAGGAAAGGTCTGCCCAGTGGAAAGTAAGTCCCAAGATTGGTAGGGGTTCCTTGGAAGACCTGACGCCTCTGTGGCCCCAATGCAGAAAGCAACTTCCCAGGCGAAAGGGAAGGGCCTGTGGGCATAGGAGAGAATGCTTGAGAAAATTCAATTTTTTAAGAAAAGAAAATTAAGTAAAAGAAAATCATCTAAACCTGCCCCGGTAAACCTTTCTGAAAAGTAAGCCCCCTTTAGAAAATCTAAGCCCAGTTCGGACTCTTATCCTGTGAAAATTGCACTTCTGTGCATTTCCACAATTTGACCCATAATTTTTAAGGTGTTCACAGACCTTTCAAACCCTTTTCCAAGGACCCTCCAGAATATTCCAGAACTCTCTTGGGGGAAGTTAGCAGCCCTTCCAGCTTGATTGGTAAGACAAGCCAGCCGGGTGCCCACTGCAGTCAGCTCAGTCCAGGTCTGGTCAGGGCCTTGCAGAATGGCCAAATGGGCTTCTAGGCTGGATGGGATCCAAGAGCGTGCACACACCGACCCAAGTAACAAAAGTCAGCTTGGTAGTGCATCTGTTACAAGAAGGCTGCCCCGACTGCCTAGTAGAGGAGCTAGCGGCCCCTGGGTCTCACAGACCATGGCATTGGCATTTGAGTCTTCACCGACCTTTGGGGGAGAAGCAGATATTTTTCTCCAGAGCCTTTCCCCTCTTGCAATAAACCAAATGGGATGGTGAGTTTGTGCTATTGCTTACTTTAAACAAATAAAATATAAGCCGGAATGGTAGCTCCTCTTTGGCCCAGAACCGTCCTGCAACCCCACCCAGGCTTTCTGAGCCTGGAGAAATGGAGAGCCTGCCTTGGGCCTGCAACACAGACTGGCCTGCCGCGGTCACTTCAGGCAGGAAGATGCCCATATAGCAGAAGCTCAAGTTAAACACCACTGTTGTTCTCGTTTTATCTCAGAGTTCCTAGCAACCCAAACCCCCCCCCCCAAGGATTCATACTCCCTAGACTGAAAAACTAAGGTGTTAGCTTCCTCTACACAATATTCCATTTTATCGATTGCCTGGGGTTAAGAGACACAATTCAATTGCAGCTTGGGTTGCTTGGCCAGCCTCTCTCCCTTTCCCCATTTGCTTGCTTTCTTCTCTCCTTTTCCCCCTCCCTTCCCACTGCTGAATTTCTCCCTCAACCTCAGAATGCCTTTGACCTAAAACTTTGGTGCCTGTTTGCTTCAGTCAGGCCCGTGAAGTGAAGTGGTTACAAGGCAGTTGCCAGGGCCTGCATTTTATTTGGAAGTAAATAGCTCCCATTTCTACCTGGGTAAAAACATTGCCCTCTCCCTCATGGCTATGAAGTCCAAGTAAATCTCAGGTCGATGGGCTAAAGCCTTTGGCAAGGATTACATTGCATTTCATGTGATAGCGGATTTCTCCTCTTGAGTAGGCCCTTGCAAATGATGAGAAATAATCTGTTATTACAAAAAACAATTTTTTTTTAAATATTAGATACTAAGATTGAGATAGCCAGGAAGCAATTTGCAGCTGGAGATTGTTCTCAATGCTTTTGGCGCTCAGAATTATCTGACTGGCTGAGGACATGTGTTTCTGCCCCCACAGAAGAAAAATAAATGCTACTTCTACATATTGGGCTTTACCAAAAATCTCGGACTTCTCTGATTCATACATGTGCAACATATTTAGACCATTTTTATAAGCTGTGATTTCCCCCCCCCCCTTCATCTTTAAGAATGTCAACATTTCCAGGGATATTTGACGTCTATGCAGCCTATCCTGAAACAATCAGCTTAAATTTTTTTTTTCTAAATCCTGTCACTGAACTGGTCCTTCTTTATTGATAGGGAGGGTGTTGGGGACTTTACATGTACTCCTTAAGTTGTACTTTCCTTAGTTTTGTCCATAAAAACTGACTCTGGGATTTGGGGCAAGTTTATGTCTATGAAGAGCATCGTTCCGTCGCCCACTCCTTCATGTGGTAGCCTTGCGCTGGCAGAGTTTGGGAGCCTTTGCCCCATAAAGACTAGTGACTTTGATAGGCAAAATTTATATATACATGCATCCACACAGACTGGCAACATCTACTTTCTCTGAGATTCCCCCCCAAGACCATGCATTGTATATTTGTAAAAAAAAAAATTAAATTAAATTAACCGCTTCAAGAAACTAATGAAAAGTACTAAAATAAAAATTTAAATATGAAAAAGAGGACATTTAAATTTGGTCTTTGAAATGTAAATGAAATGATTATTTAAAACTTATTTTATGAAAACCCTGATGGAGTGATTGTTCCATCAGAGTTTATTCCCAGTAGCAGCTTTTGAACATGTGTAGGTATTTATCAAAACAATCTTCGCGTATTTGCAAAACACAAAAAGATCTTGGTTTTACGTCTAAAATATTCCTGTAAAATCCCAACCAGGTTTACAACTATACATTCCAAATAAGCAATTCAAACTTCTCAGGCAGCTTCAAAACTTAAGTGCGACTCATCTGAGTTCTCCTTCTTGGGAACAAAGGTTTCCTCCAGGCTACTGGACAGAAGGAGAAACCGCACCTAGAAGAAACCAGAAACCGCTCCTCTCTGCCCAGGGAAGAAGCTTGCCCCAGCGGCCAAGGATGCTGACCACCTCCTTGTTTCTAATAGAAATATTCTGTTTTCCTCAGTCCTACTGTCTGTCTGTCTGTCTGTCTGTCTCACTCTCTTTTGTCATCACGACCCCCCTTTCCAAAACAGCTGGAACCTTTTCTCCTGGATGCCGCCTATCCCTGGCTCATTCAATTTAGGCTATTTCTACAAAATCAAAGGATCGCCTTGGGTGAAATGGTGGCTCAGGGAGGTGAAACCGTCAACTTTTCCGCTTAGGCCTCCCCCTGATTTCCAACCTTAGGAAGGAACGTGGGGGGTGGGGGGCATGAATCAAGCTCCTACAGCGTCACCGGGGCGCACACAAACCCAGCCAGTTCCCCAGCCCTGCTCAGACGTCCGCCACCTCCCCACTCCCACCCCAGCCGGCTTGAAATTGCTAAACTTGTGGCCTCTTACCTTGACACATTCCCGAAATCATTGCCAAGGGACGGCTGGCTTCTCTGCGCCGTGACGCCTGGGAGGCCTAGAGAGGGTGCGTTGCTTTAAATTACAACACCCACCACTTCTTGACGGTGGGCCCCCCCTTTTTGATACGAAGGGGAGTGGGACAAGTGAAATAATGTAACGTGCTGCTCTTAGTATCAGAAGCGAACAAAGGCCAAGAATCGCGCTGGGGTTCCCGGCTCCCCGGCGGCTTTGACATTGATCGGAAGTGCGCCACCTCGTGGCCGCCGCGCTCCTCGCCGGGCCCGGGCTCCAGCTGGAGCCGAGAGCGGAGCAGGCTCCAGGCGGCCAGAGGGAGAGAATGTGCCCAGCCTGCGCTGCTAAAGAGATCTCATTTTTACATCTAAGAAATTGCTGCAAAACCCCAGCCGGGTTTATAGCGGTGCATTCCAAATATGCAAATTGGCCGGCCCCGGGACGGGTTTACGACCACATTGTCACAGCCATCAGAGGATGGGCTTTTATAGGGCTCAGAAATCAAACCCGCACCCGCTTGCCGCCAGCCCGCTAGCAGTTCTGGCTAGACTCTCTAGCAACTTCCAAGACTTTGGTTAATCTTTAACCATCCCAAAGGAAGTCTTTTTCTAAACCCCGGGCTTCCCTGCCCACCACTCCCTGCCCCCCAGGAAAGTCCTTGTTCACCTCTGCGGGGCTTTCAACCTAGACATTCATCTGAGGTCTGCCCCACTCCTCTGTCAGCTCCATTTCCCCAGTCGCGCCAGTTAGACAAACACACAAACAAATAAACAAAGCAGTGTCTGGGGTGTGGGGCCGCTCTCCAAATTTGATCCTCTCCACTGCTCTGGTCCAGCCTGGGTGGCGAGGCAGAAGGTGGGGTGAGGGTGGGTGGGGGTGGGGTGGGCAACAAAAGGCTCTGGCCTTTCCGCCCTGCCCCTCAAGGTTATGGGTGATGTCCAAATTTAAGGCAGAAGTTCAAAGGCAGGAAACAAAGAGGAAACCAGCATCTTTCTTTCCCCAAAGGGAAAAGGCAGCCCCAGCTGGGGACTGGAAGAAAGTGCCCCTAGAGGCTCCAGAGACTCTGCTCTGCCTTGGGGCCCAGACCATCTCCCTCTTACTGAAGGGATCCCCAGGGCACCCTAGAGTGGTTTCACTTCAGCCCACCTAGTCCTCAGGTAAGCAAGTCTAGCCTGGGATCAGACACATTGGCCACTCAAATCCCAAGGCCTTCTCCCAGCATGGGGGGGGTCAGTCTGAGAGGATGAAACCTCTTATTTCAGACCCTGAGACAGCCTATTTCTGGGACCCCACTTTGCAAGTGGGCCTGGCCATGGCTCCCTAAACCTGCCTTCTTTTGGAATTAAATCTTGGCTCAGTCACCTCCTCATCCTCTCAGGGACCTGGGAACTTGCACCTTCCCTGGTGGTGCTGGTGTGTGCTTCTGTGTGCTTCTGTGTGTGTGTGTGTAGCTTGGGGAGGGGGCAACACATTTGTCAGTAAAAGGCAAGCAGGGAGAGGAATGTCACACCAGGACCCAATACTCAAGTTTCTACCAGCTTTATTTTCCTTGTGCCCTGCCGCCTGTATACATGCTGCGACACACAATGGGTAGACCAGTGCTCCCTTTACACAAAGTCACCACGCATTCTTAACACAGGGAGGTGAAGGAGATTCACAGGGAAGGTGCCTGACTCTCTCAGCCCAATCCTGAGACCCTAGCGGGCTGAACTACCTCAAAGCACCCCCCCCACCAATCCTTTCAGAACATTGCAAGAAATTAAAAGGACCCTTCGGACACCTTTCGTGCTCTCTCCAGCACCCCAAAAGAAATCAACTAATGGCCAAAAAAAAAAAAAGTATTCAAACAAAATAGGTTATGGTTCCTTTATTTACAAGTCTTTTCAACACCATCCCTGTATGAAGCATACATTCAAATATTCTTAGCAGTGAGTGAGTTTAACCATGGACACTGTAAACAGATAGAGCCTTTAAATATTTTCTTCATCAATGTTCCCCCCCTCCCTCTACATTGCATCTTTTAAAATTCGCTTTGGTTCCTGCAGGGAAATATATATATAATATAATATTTATCTTTTAAAATAATTCCAAATCGCTCTCCAGCTCTTGGAAAGATGCCAGAAACTTCCAAGTGCAGTTCTAGGGTGGTGAAGGGCTGAATACGATACTGGAACCGGGCATTTTGGGGGACTCGATTCCCTCATAGCTGGGGGCCCGCTGGCCAGGCCTGCTGCTATGCTGAGTGAAACCAAGTTTCAATGAAGTGTGGTGGAGACTTTGCCAAGCTGCCGCACCCCACAGGCATTTCCTGCAGAAATCTTGGGACCAGCGGCCCAGGCGCAGCCTCTTGGCTTTTTGATGTCTTCCACCTCAGGGAAAAGGTCTGCTCTTTGACCAGGCTATTGGCTTGAGTGGTAGGCCAGGACAAAGATGGTGGGAAAAATTAGGTGGGCTGCAGGAGGTGGCTGCTAGAAGCTCAGGCCTGGGACAGTGCGGTGAGTGGCTAGGAAGGATGGAGAGCCACTAATGCCACCTGGGACAGATTATTCCCCCTCAAGGATCAGTAGCCCTCTCCCTCTTTGTAACCACCTCTTAGTCCAGCCGTCTGTCTTTCACATTGGTTTTGGAAAGCAGACCCCGTTGGGACATTTAAGAATCTTCCCCCTTTCTCCTGCCCCTGTCCCCAAGCTGAACTAGGTTTGGAGATCGCATAGCTTCTGATGAAGAGGTCTTGGGGTTGGGCAGGCAGGATCCCTGTGGAGGGTCCTGGGCCAGGGTTGGTCCCCAGGAGGCCTGGCAGGGGGCCCAGTCCCTGATGGAGACCACACCCAGCCCAACGCTCCCCAGTCTCCAAGAGTGAACCACGAGGGGTCCCAGACCATTCATCCTAGTTGATGAACAACTCTTCCAATCCAATAATTATCAGGGATCTTAACCAGAGATGCTCAAGAGAGGCCGGGGGTGGCCTCCCGCAGGGCTATCTCTGTGCAGCTTCCCCTGTCTTGCACACACCTCCTTTCTTCAAAAGTCACCTCGTGCTTTAACCTTGTCAAGGGCAAAATCTGCATAAAATCTCTTGAGTATGAAGCCCCCCACCCTATTCCAGCTGGTTGGAGCTTTAGAGGAGCGGGTTGGCTGAATAGTACTGTAAACGGTCTCTGTTAATTTTTTTTTCCTTCATTCTTCTGTTCTGAAACCAGATTTTAACTTGACGGTCGGTGAGGTTGAGCATTCGAGACAGCTGCAGGCGCTTCTCTTTGTTGATATACACGCTGAAGAAGAACTCCCGCTCCAGCTCCCGGATCTGGTACTTGGTATAGGGGCAGCGCTTTTTTCGGGTTCGTTGGCCACCTGTGGAGGGAGGAAGGAATGAACCAGGTGTGTGTGGGGGGTGGGGGGGTTCAAATCCATCCCAGAGCCCCAGGGCGAGAAGGGCTGGGCTGGGACTGGAAGCCCTCCCCTAGCCCAGTCCATATCTCCCCAGACCCCTGCCTTAGGCTCCTACTGCGGATTGGGGACAGGCTGCAGTGGAAGCTCAGCCCCAGATAAAAGCCAGCTACTTAGATAGGCCCCCAGGGAAGCTGCTCCCACTGCCCCCAGCCAGAAAGGAGGGCTTCTTACAGCAACAGGCAAGTTTGTGCTGCAGAGGCCGCTTTAAAGCAGCCGAGTGGGGGTTGCCTGCTGCCTCTCGCCTGGCCAGACTAAACAAACAGCCGCCTTGGGGACATTTCACCTTCCAGCACCTGGACGGCCGGTTGGGAGGCAGTAAAAGCCCCCAGCCCCAGTCTTTTCCCGCTGCGGCTGTGACTCGGCCCTCCTTAACATCTGGGGCTTCTGTTGAGTCTTTGTCAACCTGGGTCCTGGCCACTAGCTCCTGCCTCCCTGGCCAGCCTCCTGGATGGATCCTGAGAGGTGGGGAAGTGGCAGCGGAAGCCCCCTACCCTGGGCCCTCCCTGAACACCAAGGCCACACAGCCACCCTGTCTCCCCAGAAGGGGAATGGTGCTATTTTAGATAGGGTGGATGGAAAACAGTTTTCCCAAAGCTAGGGGCAGGTTCGACCTGCTCCTCTTTTCAATAAAATCCCACAAGACATTTTTTTTAAAACCTTGCTTTTGACAGATTAAATAACAATTGTGAGTAATAAGCACTTGGACAGAAAGCTGCCGATAATTGCCACCGCACCAGAGGAAAACGGCTTCCTTTGGACAAAAAAAAAGGCCAGCTTTGGGTTAATTTGCTTCTTTTAATATATGGCTGGAGCTGAGCGGGCTAGTCTATCTGTGAAACACGCTCCTAGCGCCACCGTTAAACAGCGATGCCTTTGAATCCCGACGCGGACTGGAGTCCCGGCGCAACACATGGCTTTTATAAAAATCTCCGGATTACCCCGCTATCAAAGGCTCCCAGAGCCCTTGCAGGGGGAATTTACAGGCGCCCACCTCCGGCTCCCCAGCCCAGAGCTGGCCCCGAGCGGGGTCGAGCTGCCGGTCTTGGGAGCCGAGAAGGGGGAAAAAAAGGGGGAAAAGGGAGGTGTTTTTTTTTTTATTATTTTTTTTTTTTTTGCAGGCATGCCTTGGCCGGTGGGTATTTCACGGCCAATTTCAGCACTCGCCACGTGATCCCGCCTTTTATAACAAAGTTTTGTTGGGGGAAACCTAAAGGCCCTTCATAAACCTTATATGCTTATAAAACAGCATATAAAAATTTAACAGCGGTGCTGCGCTAGATTTCCAACTCCCCTTTCATAAAGCGCGGGGCACGCTGCCTTTATACGTACTGGAGCCGCCGGCCTTGTCCTCAGTGTGGCCGGAAGACGACTCGGGGCTGCTGCTGCTCTCGGGGCGCCGGCGCCGCTCCTTGTCCTCCGCCGCCTGCTCCCGGCAGCCGCCGCCGGCGTCCGAACTTGAAGTTGCCGGCGCGCCCGTGCCCGTGGCCGCCGCTGCCGAAGCCGCCGCCGCTGGGGGTCCCTTTTCTGCGCTCTTGTCCCCGGGGTAGTCGGAAGAAGCGAGGTTTTCCGGGGTGCCGTAGGCCGTCTCGAAAAACTGGTCGAAAGCCTGCGGCAGGACGCCGTTCCTGCCCACGGTGCTATAGAAATTGGACGAGACGGCGGGGGTGGGGTGGTGGTAGACGTTGGCCGAGCTCTTGGCCAGCACGTCGCCAGGCACGCCGGGCGCGCTGGGCGCCTGCAGGCAGTCTCTGTGCACGAGCTCCTCCGCGGAGTAGCAGTGGGTCAGATTGCCGCGGGGGTGCCACTTAGTGGCGGGCTCAATGGCGTACTCTCTGAAGGTCACTTCGCGCACGGGTTGGACTTGGGGCAGGTTGGAAGAGTAGGAGTATGTCATTGGGCGCGAAGACGGGGTCTGGGGCAGAAAAGAAGGGAGGCTGGAGAAATCTGGACCGGAGACGTAGTAAGTACAACTTGGCAAATACATGTTAGAGGAGCAGGGACCACGCTCATCAAAATCCATCATTGGGCTACCTTGGGCTCTCCGCAGTAGCCGAGCTTAACATGATTCTCCACTGCAGCTGCCTCTTTGAAGCGGATCCGTGAAGTAGAAATTTGGAGACGTAAGCTGACGTGGAAATCTATCCCCATCCTTAGCTGGGAGGTGCTGGTCATGTGACCTGATGTTGAAATTGACAAGCTGCGAGCTAGTCCGGGCTTTTTACCCCCACCCTTTCTTTTTTTTTTTTTTTTTTCCTTCCCCTCCCTCCCAGGCTTCCTTTCTTTGTAGCCACCTCAGGGGAAGCAACAGATCGTCACTCGGTGTTCTCACCGAAAGCACGTAATCGCCGGTGTAACTCATGTTGGCTGGGGGGCCTCCCGGCGCGCGGCAAGGCTGGGGTGCGCCCTGGTGCCACTTCTTGTGCTCAGCAGCACGGTCCTGGCCCTCAAGTGCGCCGAGGGCGGTGAGAGAGCTCAACTCCCGCCACCCCGCACTCCCCGGGTGAGGGATGCCCCGGGCGGGGGGTGGCCGGGTGGGCGCCGGTGGTTGCCCGGTGTTGGAATCTATACTCGAGGAGGCGCCTTCTTCGGTCCCCCTCCCACAGGTTTGCTCTGGGAATCACCTCTGCCTCCGACCTTGGCCGGACCCCCTTCGGGCCAGGGTTCGCAGCCGTGGATGTGCCTGCCTCGGGGCTCTCCCGATTTGCACGGTGACTTGATTACACGCTCGCATTCATGGTCACTTCCGAAGCGCTTTAGTGCCTTCCGTCCCTAAACCGCCAACAACCCAGGCGGCTTCCCCCGCGGTTTGCTAGGGATCCGCAGGTCCCGGAAGGGCCTTCGTCTTACCCGGGATCTAACTCCCTTTCATGCTCTCCGCCGGCCTCCTCACCCAACCCCCTGTCCTTGGAGAAACTCCCTCCTCCTCGCTCGCTGCCCGCCTGGGGTTTGGAGTTCCTCGGCATAGCCATAGGTGCTGGCGCTGCATCGCTGCGCACCAGTCTGCCCGCCCGCCTGATCTTTTGGAGCTGAGAACTCGGCAAACCCTGCAGTTGAGGCGAGACTTGGGCGGCTTTGGAGGAGCTGCCAATCCGAGGAGCCTTCTCCTGGGTATGCTGCACCTTGGGGGGTGGGGTGGGGTGGGGCACCAGGCTGCTAGTGGAGTTCCAGAGTGGTAGGGAGAGCAGCGGGGGCTCCGAGGAGGGGGTGAGAGCTTGGGAGCCGCGACTGAGAAAGGAATTGTATGCCTTCTCTCCTTCTTTTCCATACGCGAGAAGGAGGGGTGTGGGGGGCAGAAACTCAAATTTCTGAGTCTTTCCTGTACTCATCTTATGGAACACAATGCCAGAGAAAAGAGATGTGCTCCTCAAACTCTCAGCACCTTGGGTGACAAGGATGCCTGGAAAAACTAGCTTTGAAGGCTTGAGGTATATATAGACATTGGCCATAGTGCCTAGAGCGAATATAGTTTTCTTGGGAAGAGGAAAGAAGCCATTGAGATGGAGAAAAATGCTTGCTATTCGCAGGGTTGACTGGACAATGTTTCTGAGAAATGAGAAAAAAGGACAGAAGTGAAAGAAGAGGGCACAGAGCAGCCAGGCAGGGCCAGGAGCTGGGAGGGGCCCCCGCCAGGAGGCCTCACCACACCTATCTTCTTGGAAAGAGCTGGATGTTGCTGAAGAAAAGTCAAAAAATGAAAAAGGATAAACTTTTCCCTTTCCCCATCCAGGAAATAGCCAAAGGTATTTATATATCTCGGGGAGATTTAGAGTATAAACTCTGAGATCTTTGGTATTTAAGTGTCAACATCGATTTATTTATTTATTGCTGAGCTGACTGTAACCGACTCAATAACAAATCTAATCGCGTATTGCACTGGAAAAGAAATATTCTCATTATGTATTTTCTCCAAATGATGACCCGCCATTGCATTTGAATACCTGCTGTAAATATCAATAATATCGAGTAATTACTCTGTAGTGGAGTAAACTAATTTATTAGCATTAATGTTTATGTGGCCCCTATCCCCCTCCTTTACTAGGGTTGCTTATCACAAATCAAACTACTCTGACACATTGGTTTAATGAACTCTTTATTCAGGATTATCTGCAAGAACTTTCATGCCCCTTGAATCCTTGAGAGCTGAACTTGAAATTATTTGTGCATCTTCAGCTTGACATATTTGTCCACTGTGGCTTGTGCAGAGGGCAGGATCAGCGTGAGGGAGGTCTGGTGGGAAGGAAGGTTGTTGAAGACGAGTAGCTTGAGATCTTCTAAAGCTGGGAATTACAGTTACAGGATAGTCTTTCCATGAAAAAAACTTCTATTTCCAGCAGTGACCAAGATGGCAAAATATTTATTTCTCCATAGCATCTCTTTCTTGGACACAGAATATAAAAGGGAGAAGGATAGGTTTTTGAATAGAAGTATCTGAGCTTCCCCTGGTTTGATTTTCAGCTATCCTAAACTCTCCTCCAGCAGCCCACCCAGTCCCCGCCACCCCGACCCTCAAACAAAAGGAATGCAGGAGGGGTTTCAGTGACTTTGCCATAACAAAGGCGCCACCATTGCGGGGGCTTGCCCCGCCCCTGGGTGAAGGCAAACAAATTCTTGCACTTGCATTAGGGCTTTTAAGGCTATAATTGAACCCGGGGGTGTCTAGGAGAACCGAAAACAGTTCTAGACAGACCTGGGGTTTTATAGCAGTTTTGGCAGTCAACTTCAGCTTGTGCCTGTGCAGACCGCTGTGATGGCCCGGCAGTGGGGGACGCCAGGCTGTCTCCCCCAGCTGCATGCAGCCCTTCTCCTAATTAGATCAGTTTTCCCCTTGGTGCCAGGGAGAGGGGTCCTCGAAGAAAGGTCGGTATGAGAATGTGCGCTGTTCCTCATAACCATTGCCTCCCATGTGGAGAGCCAAACCGTGAGGGTGTTCGCAGGTCTGGATCCCATGGGTGACTAAAGGAGACAAAGAGGAATTCCCTTGGAAAGGCTGGGGTAGAGGACGCGTGGGTGCAGAGGCTGGCAGGGCATTCGGGAAGCTGTGCTGAAGCAGGGAGCAGACAGGGACTTGCAGCCTGGGAATGTGGGGGCGCTGCTGTGAAGATGGTTGAGGGGAAAGGCTTTTGATGCCCGGAGAAGGGAAAACGCCCAGGGCGATGAATGCTTCAAGTTCCCCAGCAGAGACAGGAGGGGGTGCTCAGCTCCCCAAGGCTACGCAATGTTCCTGGTTTTGCCCACTCCTGCTCCTCTTACCCAGAATAGACTAGCCCTGTGAATGTTTAGGCAGGAATGGGGCAGTTCCAGGGTAGGCGCAGCTCTGAGGATCAGACCAAATCTTGGGGAGCAAGGGTGGCAGAGTTGTGGCTCCTTGGTTTTGACTTTGAGCTCAACTGATGGCGTCTGCTTTGCAGGAAACTCAACCGCCTGAGTCCACCAAGCTCAGGGGAAGACCCCATGGAGACTAAGATTGCTTTGAAAGGCCAAGTCCGAGTTTGTATTTCTTGAAGAGGCCTGGACGGAGAAGGCTGTGCTGTTGGCCCTGGTGACCAGTTGATCACGAGCTGTTCTTTCTCAGGAGCTGCACCAAGCGGGGGCCATCTCCAGAAAACAGTCTTCAGCGTGTGTTTCCTTTTATCGTCATCCCGGAGCCCCAGGGCAGCTAATGCAAGAGGCCAAAAATGTTTTGGAGGAAGAAAAACAAAGGCAGGAAGTGGCGGCCGCCTGACGGTGCGTGTGTGTCTGCTGAGAAGGGAGGGAGCCGTTTCAATCTCTTCTCGTTGTTTTTCCAAACTTCAAGGTCTACGCAGCCCTCGCAGGGCCGGGTCCCGTCGCTCCCAGCGCAGTATTTGGAGGTGGCCACCCGGAGAGGAGAAGGCGGGCTCCCTCGCTGGTCTTGTCAGGCGGAAACGGCTAACGAGGCGATTTGCTCAGCAAAGGGAGCAAATCCGAGGCTCCGTTTGATTTGGCCCTAAAGGTGGGGGGGTTGGGGGGGCTGTTCTGCAGCGCTTCCCGGATCCTCCTCGGCTGGCTGAGTGCGCCATGGCCGGGACGATTCCTGCGCGTACTTGCGCTCAAGCGCCTTCCCAGGCGGGATATCGGAATAAAGAGTGTCCAGGTACCTCTGCCCAGCACTGCCGCCTCCGCATCTTCTTGCAGCCAGGGGTCTGGGCAGCAGCGGGAGGGCGTCTGCTGGCAGTGGCCGGGTCGGTAGCCTTGGCGCACGCAGTCAGGATCCAGAGGATAATTTGAGGCTTTTCCACCCAGGTTGTGGAGCCTGGGGCTCTTCCAGCACAGTCACTCGAGGGAAATGAGCTGAAGGAACCGTCATTCCACAGGCGGCCTAACACCGGCTCATTCCAAGCGAGGATAGAGGTGGGGTCAGACAGCACCAATCCAAACTTTGGGTTTGGGTTCCCAAGCCTGGTTGCCGATAGGTTGCCTTCTTCTCTCCTTGGTGCTGGCTTGGTTCTCCTAAGTAGCACAATGCCCCGGATATCTGAGAATTTGAAGTCCCCAGGACTGTGCTAGCCACACGTTGAATGTTCAGTGTGTAGCTCTAATGTGAATGCCCATACCAGGCTTCCTGCTCACGCATGTCCTTTCCAGTCCTACTCCCTGCAGCTCCAGCTTACCTATCTCTCCTGCTTCTTTCCAGCCCAGTCTCCCCTTTGGTGGCCTCCTGCCTCTTAATGTTTCTCCTAGATAGAGCAAGAGCTGAGGTGCCACAGGAGGGCACCCAGGACTCAAGGACAGAAAAAGGGGGACTGTTAGGTTCCTGGCTCGCCCCCAATTCAAGTCAAAACCAGGGAGCTGAACTGGGATTTTTCATTTTCTGAATATTCCATTGCAAGACCTTGTCATGTCCTCTTTCTCGCCCTCTCTTTCTCACCAGCACATCTTCTTTTTCTTAGTTTTCTAGGCTGGGCCATCCTGTATGGCAGCCAGTCTGGAAGGAGTCAGAGTGAAACTCTGACTTGACAGAGTGAAACTCATTCCTCAAGAGCTACAGTTGATTGCCTTGGGATTGCTTAGGGCACCAATTTTATTTTGCCTCTTCTTGCTGAGGCCTGAGCCCCTACCTTCCTCTGTCCCTAAACATCACACCTGTTTCTAGAAAACTACACAGAAGACTCTTTCAACATTGGTGATCATACTGTGCACCAATGCAAGAACCAATTAGGTCAGGCCTCCATTTAGGGGCTCTCCCCTCACGAGTGAAAAGTGTCCTTGAGGTACACCTGTACTCCATGGTGAGCCTGGGGATTGAGATGTCTGGGAAACACCGGGAGATCTCTCAGTATTTGTTCTCAGGTTATCGGCTACCTCTCTATCAGCAGATCATGGCCAATCTGTTAGGTTTCCAGGTGCTGCCCAGAGACAGCACTGAGGCTGTGACCAAATAGCGGGAGACACCCCCCCCCACCTCTATCAGTACCAGGTGGAGGCAGGGGTTAATTTATCTCCTTGAGAGACACCCACTCTGCCGGAAAGGTTCATTACCCTTTTCTAAAGCACGGGAACAGGTAATACCTTGAACTTGACTTTACAGTTGGCTCTATCTAACTCAAAGGTTCAATCCTCCAATGTGCCCAGTTATATGAAGAAGTCTGCATCTTTCTCATGGCCACTGAGGGGTGGAGCATTGGGCCAGATGAGGGTCTTAGGCATTCAAGCAATCTGGTTATTATTTAGTTTAGTGGGTTCCACACTGATGGGAGAAAAGAAGATTACTTCCTTTGAGAAAAACTATTTTTATTTTTATTGTTACTGAGTCATTAGATTTTTTTCCCCCTCTACAGAGTGGGAACAAATGGGGTGGGAGGAACTTTGAAGGGCAGCCTTAATTCTGTGTCTGCCTTCCATTCTCCCTGTAAACTTCGGCCCAAACGGGTTTCCCCAGCCAAGAATGTCTGCAATAAAGGGGACAAAAGAGGGCAATCCAACCAAAAGACTAACTCTGGCCCTCGGTGGGGTCTTGATCCCCACAACTGCGTCTCACAAGGAAGCCCCGGCGCACCAAGCTCCAGTTCCCTAGACTCCTGTGTTTCTACTCAGCAGCGATCCATGGCTTACGTTCCAGGCTTAAGAACAAGCCCCTGCCCAGTCCAATCCTGCCCTGGGAACCTCCTCCACATGCCCTGCCAGGCAGTTTTGCAATGTTAGTCCCAAGGAAAATGCCTCCAGCTAGTGTCCCCTCAAGGCCCTGCTTCACCTATGCAGCGCCAGGGGTAAAGCCCAGTTTTCTGTTTTCTGTGAAAAGAACATCAAATCATTTGCAAAGTTTCTCTCATCCACCTGAAGCAATAAGCCCAGCGGCTATTTGTTGACCTCTGGGTCTGATATGGTAGCCTGCTGCTGGCTATGGGCACAGATAAAGGGTTCCCACCCCTCCAGAGTACCGTGAGGGGGATCATACTGTCCAGGGTCAGGGATTTTTACCTCTGGTAAAATGCACCTTACTTCTTGGCCCAGGATTTATGCAAAGGAAGAACATCAACGGTCTCACCAAAGGCGACCTGGACTCGGGAATTGACAGGTCCTTAGTCTATCTTTATTCCTGACCTGGTGGGCCCTGCCGGGTCTCTTGTTCCTACCGGAGCCCAGAACTTCGATCTGGTCAAGTCTGCTCCCGGATCTTGCAGGCGCTGCCTCTTGCCGGGGCAGGGTCTCGGCGGCCTCTGAAGTCTCCAGGAGCCCACTTTTCAGGACTCGACGGGGACACAGCCCTGTTTACGAGAACTCCTTTTCAGTAGGGCTGGGAGTGAGGAACTTGGAAACCAAAAAGAACCCAAGCTTCCAATCCGCGAGCCCAGGCTATCAAAACCTGCTTGCAGTCGGTCAGTTTTGTGTCCTGAGTCTTCCTGCAGCCGCCGAAGCCACCGGCCCTGACCGTGGAAGCGGTCATGGCGCGGAGGACTTGACCTTTGCCGCGCAAGGGGAGGGCAGCTCTCTGAGCTGCTGGGAGGGGGATTCTGCTGCCTCCATCCTCTCGCACCCAATAGCAGCCCAGACAACCCACGCAGGCTGCGCGGCTCACCCCAACTCCCCCCTCCATTTTGTGCAGTGTCCGCAGACCCGCGGCGGTAACAAAGCCCCCAGCACCGCTCACACCACCTCCTTTTCAGCTCTTGTCCTCAGGTCCCCTAGGCCAAAAGGCTAAGAGCTAAAGCCAAGAGGTCTAAGACACCCCCCTGCGCCCTCTCCTTTCGCTTGACCCCAGCCGCCTCCAGCCGGTGCCAGGCTGACAACCAGGCCCCGTCGGTGCCAACTTTTCCTGCGCAGGGTCCTAGTCTCCGGCTGCCGCGTGGCGCGCGGGCCTACAGCGGGGCGGCCCAGACTCGCGGGGCGCCCCCAGGTCCAAGGCTGCTCTCCGGCCCCCGCAGAGATCCCCCCAGCTACTCCCGGCGCCCAGATTCGGCCGCTGGGGTTCCCCCGCGGCCCTGCGTGCCCAGCTCGCTCTCCGCTCCTTCGGACCTCGCCCTACCCCTACCCCTCAGCCGCGGGTTCAGAAAACGGAAGTACTTGGGAGAGAAAAACACGGATTCTTTTCAGCCCATCTCAGCACCCCTTTTAGAGAAAATGCTCCTGTCAAGTTTTATTTCCCGTTGCAAACCACCTTCCACGCTGCCAAGAATTAAGACCGGGAGAGATTAAATACCCGATTATTCTCTTGGGGGGGAGGGGTGGGGCGGGGAAGGGGCACCCACACAAAACGTTTATTTCAATCGGCTTGGCCTCGTCAAATAACGCTGGGAGAAGCCGGCGAGGGCCGCTCGGCGCGGTGACGTCAGCGGCAGCTGCGGGGCGACTCCCCCAGTGATTGCGGGGTTCCCCGGAGTCCGCCCGGCGCGGGCCAGGGTCCAGGGGCTCGACCTCGACCTAATGTCTGCTGCAAGCCTCCTCCGGGCCGCAGCCCTCCGAGGGAGGCTGGCTTATACCGGGGCTCGAGCCTCCATTTTGAGGGCTCACTTAGAAGCGTGGAGGATTTTGCGCCTCGCGTCTGCCCCCGAGGGGCGCGACATCAGGCGGCTCCCGCAGCGCGCGCCGGTCCGCAGCCCGGCACCTGGGGGCAGCCCCACGCCGTGGCCCGCAAAGGTTTAAACATCTCGGAGACGCCGTGGCACTGATTCTGCCCGGTGGATCCAGCTCTTTGGCGGTGCGGCGGAGCCGGGAAGACATGAAATCAACCGTGGCAAGGCCTTGGCCGCTTTCATGGAGGAATTTGTTTCTGCGTCAACTTCTCCTTTCTTCCCTTTAAAATAAAATTCAAAATAGCAAGCACCCTTCAGGCGGAGGCCAGCGCTAGGTAGATGCGCGAGGGTCGAAGCAGCCTAGCGGAGAGGGGGCATTTTCCTCAAGAATGGAGCCGGCTGTTATTTACCCGGCGGCCTAGCAGTTGAAAACTTAATTAGTGTGCCTGTCCTAAAACCGAGGCATAAATCTCCCCCGGCCTCTTGGATAACGCTACATCTTTGCTTATGAAAAATGGGATGTGAGCTACTCACTGCACATTTCTCTGATTCTCCAGGTCTGCGGCCGCTGACGCGCATTCGATCAACTTTAAAGGAATGCGCATAAATCAGCAAGCCCCTCGCGTCTCCCGGGTAGAGGTCCGCAGATCCGGAAGGGCGCCTCTGAACCCACAGGGTTTGGGGCTTAGCAGTCGGGGCAAACTCCATCTCAGCTCCAAAACTCGGGAATTTCGAAGAGAGAAGCAAGGCGCTGCATCTTCACTAAAACCTCCAAACACACGCAGCAGGGTGTAATCTGTGCATATATCATAGGGTGAAATGTGTGGTTAAATACCCGCACATAAGTATCACCCTCGGTTGAATTTCTCTGCCTCCTGGATTTTTAAGAAAACATTTCCATTAGCTTGAACTTTTAAAATGATTTGCTTCTCCCCCCCTCTTTCTTTAAATGCTTCTCTTTTGTTATTTAAAAAAAACAATTTAAATGGATGAGTTCAGCTCTGCATCCGGCATAAATAAGTAGTGAAATGCAAAGTGACGTTTTACAATCATCCACTTGAAATATCTTAATAAATTTGACAGTAATAGGAGCAGATGGAAAAAGTAGTTTTTTAAAGTCCCATAGTCACAAATTTTTAAAATGACTAACATGACAGGCCTCTATGGACTTCATAATCTTTACTGATTGAACAGATGAAAATGGTGCCCAGTTGTTTCTGTATTTACAATTTGTTTATTCAGAAAGTTTCACTTTTAGAAAAAATATTGAATCAGTTCTTTAATGACACTACCCTAGTATCTGAATTATGTTTCCGATATGGTGGCTGATTTCTTACTATCAATAGATGTCTTTTCTTCTAATGTTTTAGACTCATTGCAATTTGGGCATTAGAGAGCCATCATAATCCATGGGTACTGTACGCTGTCTGCTAGATCTATGGGAATTTTAAATAAGAAAGGAATTAGGTAAGATCAAGATTATCAACAATCATTTCAGAGTAAGGGAAAAAAAAACCTCTGAAATATCTTCTGTCATTAGTTTCAACAACTGGAGATAGAAAAATGACTACTACTTTACCCAGAGTTCCTGCAGTGGTGATGGCTTGAGATGGTGGTATTCCGGCTGCAGAGCTGCTGTTGGCCTCCTTCCTAGGCCTGAGGCTCAGAAAATTTCTTACATCTAAAGAAAAATATCCCCCATCAACAGAAGAGTCCCCTTTGGAGCTGTTCGTAAACACACAGCTGGATCAAACTTTGATCCAGCTTTGAGGAGATTTTCCACCACTTTAAACATTTGGGGAGAAAGTTGTTACTATGGCTTGATGGCAGCTCATTTAGAAATGGAGTGCTGTGGGAAGGTTGATCTGAAGCATCATTTTCATTTGTTTCCACAAGAGGAGTGAAAATCCTCAGGGCAGCAAAATTTGATTACATTTCACAAGATCATTCCATATGTATGTTTTAAGACCATGCTGTTTTTGAGGCAGCTTTAGAATTTTTTTTGCTATAATTCTTCATCTATAAAGAAGCTTTAAGTCTTTAGGCTGGCGAGGTTTCCATCTGCCAGGTTTGTAACCAACCAATATTATTTTCCACACAATGGTGAATATGGTTCTTCAGCTCACAATTACTTCCCTTTAACATAAAGATAAAATTAACCTCATTTCAAAATTCTGCATCCTAAGACTCGTAGTTGCACCAACATCTCAATACATATGTGTATAGAATGGATATGATTGGAAATGCATTTACCTTATGTGCTATTAAATATATAAATATGCATGTGTATTATTTATGCTTCTAAACACAGCACCTGATTGTTTTTAGGAATTAATGAGTAGTAGATATGATAATTATTATTAATTTTTGATGGTTGTAAAAGTAGTTTCTACATTTCTTCAAATACCAAATGGTAGTTTCACAAATATCAGGAGAAGATTGCACACCACCCAGAAGTAGTACTCACTTCCAATCTATCCACCATAACGCTCCTTCTGAATCCGTAGTATCATTGTCATTTTGTAGACATGAGATCTTTAAGCTCTTAGAACTGACCACTTAAGAGGTGGGTCTCTTTGAATTTTTGAAAAGTAACTCTAGAACTCTAGAGTTAGCAAGGCATCTGAAACATTTTATTTGCCATATACACTCCCCCAGTGCTCTAATTGGGATGTTAGACCACCTCGGTGGGTGAGGGCCAGCAAAGAATGGTTATTTAAGAATACCTCTTAGATTGTAACAAAAATGTACAGCTTTAAAGCAGATCAGCAGAAATCTGATGCATAGAACAAGTCTCTGCGAAGACAAATCAAACCTGGCCATTAAAGAAAAGGAGCAAAAATTTCATCGTGCAAAGTACACGTTGTATCTCAACCCTTGAAATCACCTTAAATTAAAATATATTGGGCCATTAGTAATTAATGATACTAAATCTGTACAGATGCTACAAATATTTTTATACAAGCACACACAAGCACTGATAAGCAAATGTATACATGTATACACATATTTGGTATATATACACATATATACAGGTACTTGTATAACTTACATATATTCAAATTTGCTCCATTTGGAGTAAAAAAAAAAAAATGAGTACTAAATCTCCAAAACAAGGAGTCAAGAAGGTAAGATCTTTTGATTCCCTTGAAGCTGAAGAATTACAAGGAAGCTTGTCAACGCGAGGTGGCGCCCTTGATCTACTAATCCAGCTGAGGCCAATTCATGAGCTGTCAAAAGTCAAGGTCACAAATTGTCTTTTTTCGTCAAGGTCAAGGTTTAAGGCCTTTCCTAGTCCTGCCATTTCAACAAATATCAAAACCTGCCCTTTCAGACACAAGCAGACCCAACAGCAAATTTTTAAAATACGACATCGCTGAAACGGAACAACTGGTTTTCATTTTCCACACGGAGCCTGAGAATTTATACTATCTCTTCCTCCTTTCTCTTTTTCTCCCTTCAGAATACCTGACACTTTAACCTTCTTGAAGCACTTATTTAAAATCTTAGGATTTTTAGTTATGAGGGATGTAGCCCTTTGCTTAAAAAAAAATGTAGGAAAAAAAGCTGAATAGTAATAGAAAAGAATGGTCCTTGGCTTGTGCAGGACAAACCTGCTCCTTTTCTTCCTGGATAGGATGTGTTTAGCATAGGTAAATAATGAGTATTTCCTAAAGTTTTAATGGCAGTGACTATTTTATTAACATAATTAATTCCAATATGTTACTATCTACAGTTCTAAGGATTTTTATTATTTTTAGTAGAGATATTTGAAAAGCAGGTGCACAGATACATTTTCACAGTGTGCTGAATTGTCTTTATTTACAAGATAGCATTTTATAGTGAATATGAACAAAACGAATGTGCTGGTTGAAATAACTGCTTGATTAAAAATGTGCTGTGAAGATGAATCTCTAAGCTTTCTAATGTAGTCTCATTACACAATAAACAAGGAAAAATACTAATTCCTTAAAATATCAAAATATAGAATGTAAACATCTAAATGTTCTGGGGGAATGGATTTCTGTTTTGAGTTTTCTAAAAAATAAAAAGGAAAATTATTTATCCAGCAAAATGTTTCGTAAATATTCAGAAATACTAATTTAAATTAAAAAAAAAAAGAATTGCATTGAAACCAAAGTCTACCACACTGAGGACTTCCCGGGAGCTCTGACATAAAGTTAATTCTGTGGATCATCGGGTACTTTAAATATATTTTAAGGTATCAATTTTTGGGGAAAGTAGATAATATTGGGGCAGAAATTAGAGTCCAAATGCCACAAAATATGCTTGCCATAAGCAATTAAAAATATTATCAGAAGGACAATACCAAAAGTGGGGTTTCCTTGTAGCCTCAAAGGTTCAGCTGGTTGTATTTATTACCAAGACAAATGATCCCCAGAAGGACTTTGTCTCCCCTTTCACTTCATAGCAAATAGTTCAAGATCAGCATTTCAGTACCTTCTTCTCTTTTCCCCTCTAAATCTATATATGACACGGTTTGCAGAATATACAACAACGATAGGAATTTCCCTAAGATTTACCTGAGCAGTCACTGAACATGCAAAGGGGCTATCGATGGCGAACCAAGGATAAGCAGATGTTTACAACAGCCTCTTGCGCTTTGTAACCAACTTTTGGATTATTACCATATAACAGTGTCCTAAAATAAAACGGTCACATAAATACTTACAAGATTTCAGTAAATTCGTAACTTATCTGAAATTACGTATTTGGGATTTGATGTTTGACTCTAGAGTTTGTCATTTAATGGTCTGGTAGAGTTGGCAGGAGAACTGGCATTCTTTACCATTTCTTAAAGTTTTTAAAAGAGTTGTAGATTCCACCAAGGAGAAAATCCCCCTTAAGAAAGTGAAATGTCAGTGTCTTCTCTTTCTTATTTCCATTCTTCAATTATTATTAAGTATTATAATCATTATCTGGGCAAAGCAACGAGTTCTGAAGCATTTCTTCAAGTTGCCCTCTTGTTCCATTTTAATCCATTAACTAGTGGTCTTCAGTTTGTTGATGACTTTTTTCTCTTTGACCCTCCTGTTCTGGAACCAGATTGTAACCTGCCGCTCGGAGAGATTCGTAGTGGCTGATATCCGTCTCCTTTTGTCCTTGGTAATGAATTTGTTTGTAGCGTATTCCCGTTCGAGTTCTTTTAATTGCACCTTGGTGTAAGGGACGCGCTTCTTTCTCCCCCGCCTGTAGGAACTGGCGTCGGAGGGATGAGAGACCACGTCTGGAAGAAAGGGAAGAGGACAAGTTACACGGGGATCAGGACAGAGGCGACCGACAGGTCGATCTGAGCCAACCCCCTTGGAGCGTGGGGTGCCCTTTGCCACACGCGGTAGAGTCCAGCCTGCCACCAAAAACTTGAGGTGCAGTGGGCAGGGCGGTTACTTGTGCCTTGCAATGAAATCGCCCAGGATTCCAGTGAGCACCTCAGCCCGGTCATCCTGCAGTCCCAGCGCACCGGCCTCAGTTGATAGCCTGGCCCAGCGGCCCGCACCACACAGAGGACAGCACTTGTATGCCTGACTCCTCTGCGCCCCCCACACCCCAACTCTTGATGCTTCTACACCGAGGCGATTTTTGAAAGAACTCATTTTCTTAAGCACAAATCCTCTCCAGGTCAATTTCTCATCCTTAAGTCGATGTCAGGGATGAGGAGGGCGGGGCACAGAGAGAGAAGGAAGCTAGCCAGGGTCCCCCGCAAGCTTCTGCCAGCCATCCCTCACCCAGGGACAGCCGGGCGCCAACCCCACTGAAGGGCAGTGAGGGGAGCGGCGGGGTCGGGCTCCCAGAGGTGCAGCGCCGCTAGGGCAGGCCAGGGAGAGAGCAGAGGGGCACCGGGGTGACCCAGGAGCGAGCAGAGGAGAAGCTGGAGCAGAGTCGGAGCACGGGGCTGAGAAGGGGGCGCCATTTACCGGGCAGAGTGGACTTCCAGAGGTGGGGAGGCTGCGCCTGCTCTTTGGGGCAGTACATTTGGCCGTTCCAGCCGTTGGGCAGCGCCCAGGGCTGGTAGCTTTCCATGGGAAGCCCCAGGGGCTCGTGGCGCGACTCGCCGGGACCCCCGAGGCCCGGCACCACTGGCATATCCAGGTAGCCAGGCACGGGCTGGTGGTGGTGGTAAGGCCCCGGCGCGTAGCCCTGGTGGTAGAAGGCGAACTCCTTGGCGCGGGAGCTGAACTCCTCCGCCGCGGGCCCGGCGGTGTCCATGTACTTGTCTGCGAAGGCGGCCGCGGCCGAGGCGGGCTGCGCGCACGACTTGATGGCGTTGGGGTGCGGGCCCATGCGGGCGCACGGGTAGTAGCCGCTGCCGAAATAGCCGTAGGGCAGCGCGGCGGGCCCCGACGAGCTCTGCGCCGCGGCGGAGCAGGGACTGCACTGCTTGGCGGCCTCGGCGCCCGCCGGCCCCGCCGCGCCCGGGCCTCCCGAGGACGATGCAGCCGCGGCCGCTGCAGCAGCCGCCGCGGCGGCAGCAGCCGCGGCCGCGGCCGACGGGGGCGCCTCCCCGGGCGCGCTGCTGTAGGCGGCCGCGGCGCCGGGCGCCAGGGGCGCCGGGTGCGCCATCAGGTTTCGGCACTGGTTGGCCGCGGCGGCCGCTGCGGCTGCGGCGGCCGCTGCCACGGAGAAGTTGCCCCCCGCGGCCGCGGCCGCCGGGTGGGGGAAGCCCCCGCCCCCGGCCCCGGCCGCCGCGGCCGCTGCAGCTGCGGCTGCAGCCGCAGCCGCCCCTTCCATGTTCTTGTTGAGCTCGTCGGCCACCAGGCCGCCGCCGTTGTCGTAGAGGAACATGACGGTGGGCTCGATCCAGCGGGGGTGGAGGAGCACGGAGGCTGTCATAGCCCGAGCCGCATGGAGAAGACCCCAGTGGCGCTGTTTTAAAAAGCCCCCAAGAAGTGAAGAGCGTGCGGCGCGGGGCCGGGGCCCGAGCGAGGGGGGCGGATCGCGCCCCGCGGGGTCGCGCCAGGCGGGCGCCCATTGGCCCGGCCCCCCCTTCGCCGCTCCGCCCACGGCGTATGCAAAGCGAGCGGCTCCAGCCCCGGCTGTGCGCGGTGCGCCCGCGGTCCCCGCCGCGGCCCGGGCCGCCCAGCGCCAGCGCCCGCCGCCCGGCCGCGCACCAGGCACCCTGGGGAGAGGCGGGGGGCGCGGCAGGGTGCGAGCGGCCGGCCCGGCGGCGGGCGGGGCGGGGCGGGGTGGGGTCGGGCGGGGGTGGGTGGGGAGGGAGCGGCGGTCTCCTCGCAGCTCTCCCTCCCTTGCCCTAGCCCAGTGGGGCGCAGAGCAGAGAAAGGGGTTGGGGAGGAGACGGGGGCACTGGACTGGATTGGGACCCGAGGCGGCGGGGACAGAGCAGGTAAATCTGCTGTTGGCTGGGAATGGAGGAGTAAGGAGAACTGGGCGTTGTCCAGGCTGGGGGGTTCTGGGGGCCTCCGGCCTTGTTTTCTTTCCAGGTGTCCATACGCCTTTCTGCAGAGGGACCCCAGCACCGACACCAGCACTTTCGGCTCCGACAGCGTCACGACTTGGCTCTCTTTCCAGGGGAGTAGTGGCGGGGCTTTTGCTGCCTGTCTGTTCGTGCGGATAAGCCTGGCTCATGAGTCCCAGGACATTCCACTGGAAAGCTTGGACTGTTTTTAGGCGCTCCTTCCCCTTCCCTGTCTACGGTGTTGGTGGATAATTTCATACACTCGCACTTATGCTAATAGGCTCAGAAAGACCCGTCACACCCGCACGCAATCACACTCAAGTGTACTCAGATCACACACTCATGTATGCAGATGGTGCCTCACTCTGCTCCAGGAACAACTCTGCTTCCTCCAGACTTTGAAACAGACAGAACTATCTGTGTGTGGCTTTCTCCTGTGCTCCCACATATCCAAAAGACTGTCCTGTCCTGTCCTGTCCTGTCCTGTCCTGTCCTGGAAGGAGTTTAAGAGGAACACGCCCCAGCTGGGTGTTGGCTGAGACTTGAGTGCCCCTTCTGGGGCCTAAGAAGTCCGTCAAGCCTGGGTGGGCGCCGACTCCAGGCACCTGGGCAAAGTGCCCTGTTTCATTGCATTTTGGGATAGGAAACCGGGGATCTTTAGGGCTACATCATGCCTTTCCCCAAAATAGGATTGGGGAGAGCACTGTCTCCAGCCTGCAGAGGGTGCCCGGTCCTCCTCCGTCCAAGAACTGGCCCGAGAAGTCTTTCCTCTGTGTCGGGGAAATGTGACTGTGAGGTGTTCAGTCTGGAAGAGTTAAAACAATCACCATGTTTTGGTGAGGGATTCTGAGGGTCCTGTCCCTTTTGGAGGCACTCATTTCCATTTCTGACTGTGGAGGCTTGTGAGCTGGTCAAGTGCCCAGAGGGGAATACACAAAGTGAAAGTGGGTGCATTCCACCGTAACATCCGGGTTGGGGAAAACAACGGGTGGACACCCCTCCACCCCAAGAGGACTGGTGAGCAGCCAGGCTTGGACCTGCCCTCCACTCTCAGTTTGCAGACTCTGCCCTAAGCTCAGGGCACTGCGAATACGCCTGCCCTCTACCCACTGTCCCTTCCTGCAAGGTCCTGCAGGGTCCGGGCCAACACGCTGGACTCCGTATTTCAAGGTTTGCTTGGACCGATGTAAGTGTTGCCCAATAAAACCTTCCATGACCCCTCCTCCACCCCTACCATCACCATACCATGCACTTGCCCAGTGTACCCTTTCTTTTTTGCCTTTATGGTAGCTCGAGTAAATATTGATTTGCCCCCGGTTTACCTCCTCCCTCTAAGCCGTTTGCAGACTAAGGAACTGGCCTCTGTAGGGATGTGATTTTTTGCGTTACTTTCCGGCCCATTTGCCCCCCTTCCTTCCTCCAAGTGGCATTGTAAAACTCACGGTGACAAAGAGACAAGGTTGGGTTCGAGGCCCCAGTTCCTGAGGACTTGAGTGCTGTTTTACATACGGGTCAGACACGGCTGGAGGCCAAGGTCAAGTTGAAAGCTGCAGTCTAGCCAGCGTGAGAACTACCCAGCAAGCCCCAAAGACTCAGGCAGCTGTGAAAGACCCACCGCCCACCTCCCCTCACGCTCTCCTTTGGAATTCCTGTTTCTGACTCCATTCGATTCCTCAACATTTTTTGCTGCCTTCGTGGAGTTTTTGGGGCGGTGTTTGCAGACTCTTCTCTGCCTCCGCCCTGCTCTTGGCCCAGGCTTTCTGACTCCTCTCTTTTCCAACCAGACCCAGAAAAACGAAAACATAGCTCGGGGAGCCCCTACCAGCGGCTCCTGTGCCAGCTCACCTCTGACCATGGCGCAGCTGCTGGTGCGCACGGCGGCCAAGGCCAATTCCACATTCCTCCCGTCCTCTTTCCACTTCCCGGAGATCGCAGCCCTGCATGCAGAGGAAGGGCTTCAGCTCTGCAGACTGCCAGAGTTGACTGGGTCCCACCTCACCAAAAATGGTGAGACAAGATTTCATCTTGTCCGCTAAAGAGTTATAAGCAGGTTTGTCTGGGAAAGACGGCGGCGCTGGGGGATGGCTTTGGGTTGCATCTCAGAGCAGGCTTTGCTCCTGAAACTTGGCGGCCCCACCAAAGAAGGGCTTGAGGCCTGATTTATTTTGAACTTTATGGTGAGTCCTTAGTGATCAGATTAACTGGGTATTTTCTTAGCTTCCCATACCTCCCTATCAATTTTCAGAAACTCTTGGGACATGATTAGTTACGAGGGAGGCAATCTACTTGTTCCTTTCTTGTATTGAATCTTCAATATATGCAAAATGATTTTTCTACCAGGCAAGTCAATGGCGTCCTGGCATACCTTCCCTGTTTTTAAAAACTGCAGGCTAAATATTGAGTTGTAGCCACCAACCGGTGGAGATTGCTTATAGAATTTGAATGAGCTCTGTTAATAATTTTGAATTTGTTTCTAGAATTTCTACCCACTTTTAATCAAGAAAATCTCTCTCTGCCCTCTTGGCCTTTGCTGAAGGAAGTAAGAGATTTCTTAATGGTTCCCAATGCCATTTCTTGGCCTCTTAACAGCACTCCCCCCACTGCCCCCAGGCAGCCACAGACTGGCTTGCTATGGAAAAAGAGAGGTCCAGGGCAGTGAAGAATTGGAGTGTGTTCTGAGAAGCCAGTACAAGTTCTCCCAGCATTGTTGCTCTTTTCCCAATGGTTAGGTCAAGACTCAGTTGCCTTTCCACTTAGTTGGGTCTGACCCTCTGAGTCTTTACTCTGCTTTTTTTGTCCACTAGGCTCAGGAATTCCTATAGGGTTGTAGGGAGGTGCTATCAACTTGAATCCTGGCAATGATAATTTTATCCTCAGACCTTTTGTATTCTAGACTGCTGGGAAGGCTAGAACACACCCACGGGAATCTGCGGGTTGCAGGGAGAAGGTGGGCTCTGCCTGCTGCTCCCTCGTTTGCCCTGGAGGAGTTCTGAATGGGCAACATTGGTAAGTTCAGAGGATGATAGCCTAGTCTTTGTCTTTGTTCCAGGAGCTTACCAGAGCCTTGGTGGGCATGGCATCTTATCTAAAATAGGCTGGGGTGCCCTTCTGGGCTTTTGCTGCCCTGGAACCTTCCCCTGAAGAAAGAGACATTGGCTGGATTTTTCTGAGTGAGGGACTCTGCCAGCCTGAGTTGTGGGATTCTGGGACCCAGGGTTGGAAGAGAAAAGGACAAAAGGAAAGTAGGTTTTAATCGAATTTGATTTTCACTAGCAAATGAAATTTACCTGCTCTCACTTTAACTCAGAGGAGGCTGTCAGCACTGCTCCCTGGCACTATTTCTCTGTATCCATCCAGCATTAGGATAAACATTCCTCTGTTGTTTTTAAAGACACTTTGTATTTTAGGATATTCATGTGTTTCTAATGTATCCAAGCAGCTTTACAAGGCTAGCTGCATTTGCAGAACATCTTAACCCTCTCTCTCCCACCTCAGGAGGATGGAAGCAGAGATAGTGGCAAAGGAAGAAAGATCTTGAGGGAAATAAAAACGACCCAGGAGCTGAGGTTGGCCAAGAAGGAAAGAGAAAGAGAAAAAGGGGAAACACCCACTCATAAGACAGCACCTTCAAATGAATCCACAGTTGACCAGACCATTTGGGAAAGACACAGTGGGGGTCTTTGTTCACTGAGTACTTCGGGAGATTCTCCACTGTTTCCCCACCAGGATAGAAGTTACAGTTTCTTAGGGAGAAAGGGTAGATGATGAAGAAACGAGTTGGCCAGAGCTGGTCAGGACGCAGGGAATTGGCGCATCCTAAGTCTCTTGCTTAAGATTTCTTTCAAGATTTTTGTGTATTTGAAACATTAATGTGATACCAACAGGCCCAAGTTTGTAGGGGCACTTTTGGACTGGAGGAAGTCGCTTGGCACTTTGGTGACCAAATGTTAACACGGTGAAAACAGGAGGAATCGCGCAGGGTGGAGGAGGCGCACAGGGTCATCATCCCACCTTGCCTGTAAGAGTCCCTCATCCGGAGGACCAGGAAAGCCTGTTTTTGGAGGAGCAGTCCTCCCGCTGCTTGGTGGGTTCCGTCCATTGTGATCTTCAAGACTACCCAGTGCACAACTCTTCAGCAAGAAGGCGGAGACCCCTGTTCCAGGGCCGCCCTTCAGTGTTTCCCCCAGAAAGTCCCTGTCCCCCATTTCTCCACCCTGTCCTTGTTTTTGTTTTAGAACCACCAGTTCCCAAGCTGCCTTGAGAAGCGACCACTACCGCACCGTCCCAGCCAGCCAGCAGCGCCCAGCCTCCTCAGGGTGAACGCCAGCTTGGAGTGGGGGACTCTCTCTGGCCTCCGAGACCGCGCCCTGGGCTCGGGGAGACCTGAGTGACTCGGCCGAAGGCACTGGAGCTGGAGTGCCGAGCGCTGCCTGCCGCGACCCGCCGCCTTGGCTTAAAGCACCGGCGCGC